GAAACTCCAACAACAGTTGTCAGCAAGTGACTCTGCTTCGGTCTGGAGAGGCCTCAAACACATTACATTACAGGTCATTTAGCTGACGCTTTTATCCAAAGCGACTTACATTACATTTTTAACCCATGGCTCTTACGTTTTGCCTGGGGAGCAATTAGGGGTTAGGTGTCTTGCTCAGGGGCACTTTGACATGGGACATGGGGCAGCCGCATCATGTTTAACGTTTGTCAATAGATTAATAGAGAAACAAAATGCAGCACGCCCGACAATCTCAGTTTGTAGAATAAATAAGCTTGATTATTGAGCAATGCACGTAGGAAGTGAAAGATGCATTCTCATTTGAAAATGAATTAAACAATAAGGTGTAAGGTTATAAATCTTGAGACAAAAAATGGGGTATCCTGTGTTACAATTTCCAACCCTGCAGTAACCTCAGTTATTAGCAGGTAATGCCGCTAACATGCTGATGTAATGAGAGCTGACACACCGTCATGTATATGGGGGCAATTTCCTGACAACAATAACTATAAATAATCTTCTTCTGAAATGATATATCTTACATTCAATTTGCAAAGGCACCCGGATGTATAGAAGATATACCCTTAAAGTTCACAGCTACATACAAGTCAGGCATTTGTTTCTTTATTCGCACTGTACAAAGTCATCAGTCCTGAAAAAGGGATTTAATTCAGATTTCTATCTTAGACTATAAACATCTATTCCATTAGAGCCAAGAGTAAAATATTGAAAGTGCTTTTCTCTACTGATTTACACATTCATTTTTATAGAACAGGGCTGCAGAGACTGTTTTTTTACCCTAAAGTGATTGTTACGTGCACAATTTTGTAGAAGAGAACTTATGTTTTCCTGAGAGGCGAAAAACCTGGAAAGGCAGCCGCCACACACACGCTGCACACACACCGCGACCCACTCGTCGCATTATGAATCCTTTGTGAGGCCGAATGGCTCCATGGTCATAGTTGGAGATGATGGCAACCCATAAACATATATTGTGTGCTCTGGCTCCTGTTCTGAAAATAAAATTGAATTTGTACGTAAGAAACCTCAGGAAAGGCCACAGATGGAAGAAAACGGCACGTATTTTCATTATTTTGCAGAGTAATAAAGGTTATGTATGACTCATAACATCATTATAGTAAGATGTCTTTGATTATTTTGGCTTATGGTGTTTTAGGTCAGCCATAAGACAACCTCCGCTGAACAGGATGAAAGTAGTAACAAACAAAAATAGTATTTTCTGTGATTTGAAAAAAAAGAATGCCACATTTGATTTTTACCAACTATTCTGAGATTATATATAATATTTATATTCTATAATATATATATTCTGTAAACCATTAATTTAAGTATTTCCATTTGATTCTACGATTATTACACTATGTAACCGGATCCCGTTTTTAGTCACTATGCACAATAATAAGGTGTCAAAAACAGTAAAATTATTGTGCATGTTCACTAATGCATAGAGCATGTTCAACAACATTGGAATTAACCTCAAATCCGGCTAAAACACAGAACATCCTTCATTGTTGCTATTGTCACCATTAATAGGTTTAAAAGTGTGTCATTTTCATGGTCTTTATTGTGGGTGTTCTGCCAAGTGGGTTGAATAAATAACTATAAACGCTGGTCCTCAGTGATTGTTGGAGGTCGTGTATTCCAACACAGCAACAATAACACAAGGCTGTCATAAAGAGACCAGATAACACAAAGAGCAATTGTCATTTCTTCTTTATTAAGATTATTTCAGACAAAACATATATTTCTGCAGAGACAACATACTTTTGCATTACATACATTGCATTCTATACTTGATTAAATCACACATGTTGACGCCGCAGCTTTTGGTAAGAATTCAGAACCTGGACATTGTTAAGAGACTGGAGCGAGGATCCACTCACATAAATGTAGGTGGAGTTTCTGTTGTACACCCACACAGAGACACAGATATTGTGTGCACACACACACATAGTTTGTCAACTGTGTAGACTGTCTGTGGGTGGAGAAGCTGTTGTCAGAGGTAACGAAGGGATCTGCAGGGTTAACAAGCGAATTGACTGGTAGCCCGTCTGATTTCACTGTCAGAATCAGTCAGTGTGGCTGCTTTCAGCTACAGATGATAAACGTTCTCAATAACCATGATTTTCTTTTCACTGTTTTAAGTTTGAATGTTCCCTGCGAGTGTTGAATATTTTGCTGAGATCCTCCTGTGTGGCGAGACGTTCTGTTTTTCAGAATGTACTTCCCCATCAAACCCACTGAAGATAGTACAATGAATGCAGTAAAATGTCAGGATGTCACTATCGGCAGAGATATTCCATGTTTTTTGAACAGCAGGGGAATCTTGGAGTCAGAGCAAAAGTCAAACAAGGGTGAAAAAAAACTACTTTCTGTCTTTGACATGTGCTGTGACATGCACAGTCTGCGACTACATTGTAATCAAAACTCAAATCTACACGAAAAATACAAATGAAAACACAAAACAAAAGGTTTGCATTTGACAAGTGCCTTGATTTAGGAATTGTCCCAGTTCTTCAAACACATAAAAAAACAAAGCCCGTTAAGAAAAAGCTTCCAAGTAAGAACATCATTCAACATTTGCACAAAAATTGTAAAAAACAAACAAACAAGTTTACCTCATCATATTGCACATATACTCAAGTGGCAATTTGTACTGGCCCTCTTTTTTGTTCTCCGCCTCTGCACAAATACCCAAAGACAATCGGGCACGTGCACAGAGGATTGCACGTGCACGCACACACTGAGCTGCAAAGGGACGTAAGAGGCTACATAGCTCACATACAACGAGGAGACAGATTACAAACCGTAGTTGTGGAACAGACGGAATACTTTTGAGATTAGGGTTTGAAGGTGGATCAATTATTTTAGCTAAATCAGAAGGCACGTAACAATCGGTGCCAATAGATATTCATATATACGCCTGTAAGAGTCATTAATGTCATTGTGTGGAATCTATAAACGGATGGGAATATTTGTTAAGAGCTAACAGAGTGGATGAAAAAAAAAAAAAGTTACATTTACATTTGTACATTGAAATGAAAGCAGTGGGTTCACGGATCAACCGTCACTCTACAGTTGCAGCCCTGGCGAGTCCTTATTATGCATGTATGCAGCTTCTGTCTAGCATTAGCACTGCAGCGGCTGATGCAGCCTATCAAATGTAGAGAGCAGACGTAAATCACTTGAAATGAGAAATCCATCCGTCTCAAATGACACATCATCACTCGGCACGTCATGTGACAGCTGTGAATGAAGCTAAGGTTGAATTTTCGAAGCAGTCGTCATGGGGTTAAAGCAAAAATGTATTGTTGCAAACGTATAAAATATGGTCTTTTATTGTTGTTATTATTAATAACACTATGGAGTTCAAAAAGGCTGTATTCAGAGCTGGTGACTTGTATAGGAAGATTAGGTTTTAAAATTAGGGAGAAGTGGGCTTGGAAGTGTTAAAACTCAAAGTCCAACTATATTGATTCATGCCCAAATTACCTCAGTTCAGCCCACATGCGTTTACCTAGAATTTACTAGGTTACTAGTTTCTCGTAGTGTGGTTACATCCATCGGAGGCCTAAAAAGGATTTCTTGTTTGTTTGGTCATCTTACAGTGTGACAACACATTACTAGCAAAGTCTTTTAAAATGACAAAAACGTAATACACCTTTAAAGTCTTGATCTTCAAATATTGGAGGAACATTATGGTTTATACACTATAATCATTAGCATCACCAAAAGGGGAATGATTCCATTTGTCTAAAAATACTTGATATATATATATGATACATGATATATATATAAATATATATATTTATTAAAATATTTTGTATTTGAGTTAATGTATGTTACAGATATGACATGAATGGTGAAACAAATCATTAATACAGCTTTCAGTTGGGCAAAGGAAAAGTAAGACTTCACTCTGTGAGCTTCGCTGTATTAAAACTGATGTGAGTTTTGGTATCAACCCATTAATGACACATTACTCAGCTGTACATTACAAAATTGATTAATTCTCAGTTCAGAAGTACTTTTTTTTTCTTTTTTCTCCATTACTTATTGGGTCCTTCGGGCGATAAATATAACTTTAGGATTGGTTTTGTTGAGTGATTCGGAAATTGTGTATATTCTCTCATTTTAATTGGACTGGAAGGAAAAAAAACGGACTTTCATATAGAGGCCCTGATCCAGTTATTGAATTAGTATGAAAATGCGACAATTACGTTGTTGCCAAGAGCTACAAGGTTACCAGAAAGTAACATAAAATAAAACAAAAATGGAAAAAGGCAAAAAGTAAGATAAATTCAAACAGTGAAATCTAGCAATAACGTTACACTTAACTCTAGATCTCTAAATAATAGGAGGTAGCTGTTAACTATTGACCTTTCACTCCAATTAAGACGAATGCCCCTTCAGGTGAGCATTTCATCGACGGGTTGATCTTTTTTCAGCCTCACGTTGTTAATAACTTTTCTAGGCGTGGCCACAAAGCCCTTCGTATTTTCATAGCGCAGATGTGAAAACAAAACAATGTTTCATCTACTTTTCAAAGTATGTCTTTAGACTAGCCTGTCTCCTGTCTGACCATTATGGTGCTGCCGTCACGCGAGCACAATTCATTGAAAGGAATGCAGGGAATTTCCTGTTAGCTCTTGGGGGATATGGTTTGTTTTTCCTGTTGCTGGGAGCCAATTTTTTTTTTTTTTTCTCCCTCTTGCCCTTTTTAACTTCCTGTCTGGGAGCCTGACTTTACAGAGAGGCCGCAGAGGTGAGCGCCAGAGGCCATTGATTAGACTTCTGTCATCTGTCACCCAGCTTACCCGCCCCTCCCACCTTCGATCCTCCATTCCAAAACTCCCAGATCACATCCATTCCCGGCTCGGGCAGTGCTTTTTTTTTTTAAATGAGGATTTGAATGGGGGGGGGGGGTAGGGAGGAGGATGGGACAGGGAAGGCAGAAATGCTTTGTGAGCATCATTTAAAGAAAACGAAAGCACAAAACCCAGGTAGGTGACTTGGAAGGGAGGCGGCGGCTCTGCAGGTGGTGGAGATCAGTGTGACCTCATGCCATGCTGCTGGTCGGCGTGCTTTGGGTGCTTCCGATGCTAGCGTTGGCGCTGCTGTTCTCAGAGGGGGACGGGTTGGTGGAGACGGGTTGTCGTTTTGCTCCTGAACAGGGACATCCTGAGGAGAGGCGAGAGGAGAGGCCAATGAGAACCTGGAGAAAAGGGAAAGAACATTTAACGGAGAGAGAGAGAGACGAAGAAGAACCCTTACCAGGTAGATTGGCTGCAGTTGAGCTTATATCCAGTCCAGTTGGGTACCCTGAAAGAAGCAGAATAAGACTATTTCAAATCCAGATCAAAGGTGAACTCAGCTTTACGCTAAAGCAATAAGACTTTACTGTTAGTCAAACATGTACCTGTTTTAATCTTGATAAACCACAATGCTCCAATGAGTAGTACTCCAATCAGGAACCCTCCAAACGCAATGCCCAGAACGCCTGGTAAGCCAAAATCAAAGCACGCTGGGGCTGAAACATCAATGAAAAACAACGCATACAAGCTTGAGTTCAACGACAACAATCCTGATGGTTACCGTCGATGCCGACACAATGACAAATACATTTAGTTACAGTCGGTGGACCCATTTTAATGTGATGGTGCAAGTTGAGATTTTACTCGATAAGTACAAAAAAAAAAAAAAACGCTTCACATGGAAACAGCGAGAAGTTCAAGGATCAGATTGGCTGATTTCTCAAGAGAACCGTAGCAAACAAGACGCACCAGTTGCCAGCGCCAACCTTTGCAGTGTAACACCCACACGAAGATTATACTGGCAGGTCTAGTGAATATATTTTTTCAGGCAACACAATATGGAATTCAAGATGGAGTTTCCAGGCATGAACCATTAACTTTTTCTTTCCATTGTTTCTTTTATCCTAGTTCCAGCAGCAATGGCAGTACATTTTTGATTGAGAAAGACATTTTCCACCACTATAAAAAAAACAGACAACATGCAAGTTTTAGGTCTCTGCAAGTTGATTTTCATTGTCGCGTGAGCCAAAACCAACAGCTGCCCCAGTTTGCTTTAAGGTTGATCGATAAGAGTCTAAACCGCCTAACTGTGCTGAAAAACGTATGAAATCTGTCACCGCTACGGTATGATATTTTAATAGTACGCCTTCCCCCTCCTAGTTTCTATGGCGATAAAAGCAAAGTCCTTGCAGTGAATACAACAATCTTCTTTTTTTTGCAGGCAAACTGATCTCTGCTCTAATTAATAATACAAACTCTACACCCACATCCAGTCGCCCATTGGTGATGTTCTCTGTGCTTCCCTTCAAAAAGATCTGAGCCAGCAGCTGTGAAATAAGATGTTCCCTCAAAACGGCCTTGAAAGAACAGGCAAAGAATAAAACTCGCTCAAGCGCCTGACACTGCGGCACGGACATCCGTTACTAACCTGACAAGGCCATTCCAATTTCGCCTCGCTCATTGTGGTCTGGCAAGGTCATGAATTGATTAACTTAAGATAGCTGTCCTTCCACGAGGGCTGCATAACAGATAATCAACACTTTTCCCCTTTACTTGGACATGCCCCCAAGTTCTACTACCGATTTCTGTGGGAAGATCAATTTTTAATTAATATTTACACAAAAAGCAGTTGAGGGTTTGTTATTTTGCTGAAGTGATTATATTAATTGTCATCAGACGTGTTTTTTTTAATGATTCATTTAGAATCAACACACACAACTTTGTCCACATAAATAACACCCATCTGTCCCATGATATTAGTTGCATATCAAGAAGAAACACAAACACTTGTCCTTCTCCCTTTCTTTTGCTACCTGTAGAGATTATCCCACAAGTAGAGAACATTTGGAAAGAAACTAATCATCACCTTTGCACGAGTTTGTCTCACCTCCTGCCTCCTGGTGGAATGCACTTGGCTAAGTACAACACTAGGCATCCTACAATATAGCTCCCCTTTTCCTGCAGTGCGTTGCACAGACAGAAGACACTGGGTTTGTTCTCCACTGGTCAGCGATCATGTGTACTTCTATATGTGCAGAACAGATAACATTAGCAGTAGTACAAAGTCTGTTATTTGCATATGTGGCACCGTAAGGTTTGCTTTCTTTATAATGAAATAAAATTCAGGAGAACTACATTAATGGTTATCATTGTGATTGTAACAATGATACAATAACAAAGATGAGCTGACTTCAACGTGACCCAGATTGTTTAAACAGTGACATCTTGTGGCCATTTGGGGCGACTGCATCCCGGACCGCCAACCCAGTTTGCCAATCTGTCAGCGAGGAACGTCGCTCGACGCCGAGCGAGTCAGAAACATCAACGCGACTAGAGCGGGCTTTCTCTTGAGACTTTCACCACTCCCCCCCCACACACACACACACACACACACACTTTAATCAGTTTCTGTGCTAGTTTGTATAAACGAGGCTTTGACAGCAAAGCTGAATAAACAAGAGCAGGAAGCAGAAGCTCCAGTGCAGGTGGAGAGGAAGACGAGGCGGACTGCTGGAGCCCTCTGCGTGAAAACGTACCACGCCGGAGTGATTGCCGAGTGGGGCCCTCGGTCCCGCCCAGCGGGGGCTCGCGACAGAACGCAGTCGCCTCGTCCGGGCCGATACAAAACCGTGCAAGTGGCTAATGAATGGAACCCCGCGAACACACCTAACAAACCAGCATGTTCCATCAACAACTGGCTTCATACTTCCTCATGCTAGATCCAAGTATTCAGAAGAATTGTAATTGCAAAACAAGCAAAGAGGAGGACAATGGGATGAGTAGTTAGTCCGCTGCTGACATACCACCTTATCTTTCTCCTCTAGAAGGAAATGGAGGATGAAGGAAGCATGAAGAATAAATAAATCTATTATCAGGCTCACAAAAGTCTGACAAACTTCGGGTCACTCGCCATTTAATCACGTCGACTTCCTTGTGTCTTTTTTGTCAAATTAAATCATTTGACATTCTCCTAGAAATGAATCATCTGTCCGGGGAAAACTTTTTTTTTGTTGTTGTTGAAGGGAAAACATCTTTCTTTGCTCGGGGTGAACTGTGAAGAATAGCACCAGGCCCAGCGGCTGTGTTTGGACAGCGACACAGTCAGACCCCCTTGGAAACAAAGGATTTCGCCTGCGTCCCCCGGGGGGCCATTACTTGTGATTGTGGCCACAAGGTCAGCTCGCAGAGCTTCCTAGAGGACGAGGCCGGCCGGGCAACCTCTTGCTTTGCTGCATATCCTGAGTTCACTGCTATGACAACCGCTGAGCATTGGAAATTTACTGGCCGAGCACGAGAGCTTGAAGTCCTGAAAACCCCCAAAAAGTGTTTCACCTGAGAGGTTATTCTCCAATCAATCATTTTGGAAACTGGAGCAATTGTTTTGTTTGTTTGTCGATACCGCACACCTACATTGGTATTGTGACTTTTTTTTCCCAATGACGTTTTTATTTAATGTATTTGTGATTTAATTTTTTTATGTAACGCTGATGAGTAAATTATTTTACAAAAAGGAAAACCAATTTAAAATTAGATAACTAGACTGATAAATAGCTGGTCAAAGATGCATCTGATCTGGACTCAGATTAAAACAACTTTACTGATCCTGACTCATCAGTATGATACTGACTCATATTTTGGATTTTATGCTGAACTCACTTGGCAGTTGCAAAGACCGTTGGGTAACCTCCAGATTCCTCTTCACTGTTTCTTCAGATCCACATGACTATCAAGGTAGGGTGAAGAAAAATAAATGAATAATAGAATAAAAACCCACAAGGTCACATTTAAATGCTCCCACCACGAACATTCATGCAAAATATTCGAGACAAGAAACACAGATTTTACATCTTGAATCGAAATGCTGTGTAAAAAGAGTTGACGGACTCACTGTACCTCCCCGTGACACAGTTTGACGGAGCATTCCAAGTCCCACGTGGTGGACGTCAGCTCTTGGAGGTGATCTAAGGAAAAGCTGAGCCGGGTGCTCTTGACACAAGAACTTAAGGAGCAGGCCTCTGGCTTGAAGGACAGCGGCTTCGTTATTACAGGACACGAGCCCTTGGATCGCGCGGAGCAGTTGACCACCGTGACGGTCAGGCTAATGTCTCCAAAAGTGTGAACTGAAAACTACAGGAAACAGAGAAATGATTTTTTTTTTATTACTTTTTTTAAACAGAATGTAAATACGGCACCCGAATGGGCATCAGCGGAGTGTGGTAACATATTATATGTGTAGTGCGTATAAAACTGCCCAACAGCTGTGGTTCCGTAATAAAAACACATTAGAGTGATTTTGAATACCACCATATGTTGATTAAGCTGTCTTTGTGTACGGCTTATATTGAGAGATGAGGAAAAACTGCCTAATGAGAGAATCATTTCTTACCTCGGCATAAATTCTCTTGTCACTCTGCACCTTGGTGGCAGGGTCCAAGGGAGAACGGTAGTCTGCAGAGGTGTGCAGCTGCATCAGCACAGGCGTTGGGGAGGCCGTGCTTGTAGTGGTAGTCACTGGTGCTGGAGATGTTTTTACAGCTGGAAGAAAAAATGGTAACAATGAGAAATAAACCATGCACATCCATTTTTTAATCAATTTCTATCTTATAATGTGCACATTGTGCCATGTTGCCTCTTTTTCTTTTGGTCTTTACTTAGGACCAAATCTTCAAAGCTCTTTCAAATTCAGCAAGAAAGGCTTAGACAACGGATTTGAAAAAGAAGTGCAAAAAAAAAAAACTCTGGGTCATTCAAATTCAGCATAGCCCATTGTGTATGTAAAATAATACACTGAATGCAATAATGATGATTGTGAATATTACAGCAGTCATTATCTTGCAAATCTTCAGCGCTAGCATTGTATATTAATATCACGCGTGGGCTGTGGCTTTTCGCAGCACTCCATCTACTCTTTGTACAAAGTGCGATAAAGCAATTTTAAATTCTTTTTTTCTTCTTCTCCTCGTTGTGTTACCTGCAGGGTTTTCTTTTGTTCCAAGAACCAGTTGAACCCTGGAGCGCTGTGATGCGAGTTCAGTGTAGCTGGTGAAAGCGGTGACATTGAAATCTTTTAAAGCCTTCCTTTGCACATCCTCCGCATTGTCGCTCTCCAGGGTGGACGACGGCCCCACTGTATGTCTGAATGCGGACAGCAGGACGTTGTTGTTGGACTGTCGAGAGAGGAGACAAGTTCAAGCAAATCCCGTAACGACGTGTGAGCCATTGCTAGGTTAGCTAACTTGCTATGGCTACGTGTAAGCTTACAACAACACGGGCCATGTGCGGGGTGGTGAGGGTCCACGTGGTCCCCCGAGGGCCTCTCAAGAACACGTTGGTTTTTTCAGTGTCAATGCGAACCGATACATCGCTGCAATATGAAGATCGAAAAAAATCATAAGATCGTTCAAAAAACATGAAGCAGAATGTGAATCAAAAGTTTTTTACCGCGTGGTGGAAGTTTCCAAGACGTTTATGACGTGAAGCTCTGTTTCATCATTGGGGATCGTTGGCTGTGGGGAGCACGATTTGACCAACGATTTGGTGTTGGATTCTGTTTCAATCTCCGTAAAGTGATTCTGTGGCACATCTTCACTTCGGAGTACGCAGGAACTAGAGCCGGACTTGGTTCCTGTAAAGTCACATCTTTTCATTTAACCAAAAATGACATTCATGGGGAAATTGTGAGTAGTACAATTATTACTGCACGCATAATCTCATAATAAAAAGCAGTTTAGCGGAGGACCAAACTGCAGAGGCCGGGGACGCCACTTTCCCCGCCTTCCCTGCCTCACCCCTATGAAGGCGCGATGTTCCATGAGCAATCCACCAGGAGCAGACAATGCTCAGTCTTTGACCAAATAATGGTGACTGATGGTTTACAGCTGCGCCCAAATATGTTTCAAACCTGTGCTTGAAATGGGGGCGATATATCCCACAGCACCTGGTATAGCTTACTGGTAACTAATAGCTGGAGCAACAGCTGGTGAAAGACACAGTCATCTTATCTGAGCCAATCATTGACAAGACTATGACTACGTGAGATAGGATTGTGTTTTAGAATTCCTTTTCCATTGTGAAATTGATTCACAAATAGCGTGTTTTGAGTTTTAAATAAATAAAAGTCCTCGGCTCTGCGACTAGAATTTGAAGGTTGTGTCTCCAACACTGCTGAACAAGCCTCTTTTGCACAAGCATTGCTTTCAAATCACATTGAGAGATATAAAAAAAAAAAACTGAGGGACCTTTTATATAATTTTGAATGCACAATTTGGCAACGCACTGTTGTGTAGTCATTGCACAGACCTTGCAAACTCCTACAACGAGGCCTATGCAGGTTCACACGGGCCAACGGCAACAACCAAATACCGACTTTAAAAAGCTGCACGGCTTGAATAACTTTAAAGCCCTTGTGGCCTGTGAGTCAGTAGAAACACGAGCTAAAACTAAGGCTGGTTGATTTATCTATCTGTAGCCTGGGTAGTTAAATTATGATGTCATACTGTACAGAAAAATAATAGGTCTTCATTGAAAAAGCTATTTAAAGCTAATTACCTTTAAAAAATAATTCCACAGACACTCAAGGGTAAAAGAAGGTTCGTGATTAATTTCAAATCTCACCGTTTGTTCCCGTCGATGTCATGGTTATCAGATTACTGATGCTGGTGAATGAAGTCACGCCCCCAAACTTCTGTGTTGCCCACTTGACCAGCTCCTCGTGTTGAGTCGGGAAGGATTGCTTATGGATGTTGTTGAGATATTGGCTCCGGGGAAAACTAACCACGGAGTCATTGTTGATCTGCAAAGTAGCCCCCAACTCATGCCAATTAGTTTCGGTAAAATCCCATTTCAAGAAAGCACAAAGTCAGAATGACCTGCAAAGTACGTCCTAAATGGCACGAACCCGTCCGCTACAACAACACAGAATTCAGTGAGTCAGCTTTACATCTATTTATATTTCACCTCGTGTCTTCTCACATTTTGTCGAATCAAACGTTTTTTCCCGCCCCTCTCACTCTCCACCACAACTTGTTCTTACACTCCACCCCACTCTCCCTCTATTCTTTTACCAGGGTGCTGTTAAGAAAAAGATGTTTATTATGGTTAAGTGTCCGCGAGCCTAGTTGCACAACCCCGTTGGAGCCACGGTCTTTCCTTCGCTTCCTGACTGGGGCCAGGAAACGGGACCTTTTTTAGCTTTGTGCGTCACCACAGTCGGCTGGAATCTGGCTCCATACAAGGTATAAATATATACATCCATCCAAGCGGCTAGACGAGGCTGTTTCCTCGTCTGGGCCAATAGGAAATAATGGAGTTTACGTTAAGCTTTGCATGGATAAGAATGCAAAAGAGGGCTTGGGAAATATAGAAGCGTGGATTGTCTAAAGTAGGCTTTCAGACATTTAGACATAATGTACTCAAAAAATAGGATGGTCCTCTTTTTCTTGTCTATGCACTGTACCTTAATTTGAAAATACTTTGCATATTTCTGGTTTATTCTGGAGTATAAGCATGCATGTTTAAATAATAAAAAACTCTTCCAGCCTGTCTGGTGTGAATGACTACTTGTGTGTGTTTGTGTGTGTGCGCGTGTGTGTTTGTGTGTACTTGCATCCTTAAGCGAGACAGAAACAAATTTTGAAAAGCCAAGTAAGCCCGAGGGAGCCATTGGTCTTTCTACATGAACATTGATTGACGTGAGATCAAAAACAGACTGAAGGGAAACAACGGAAATAAAAGATGGGAAACCAGACACAACAGAAGCAGGCAACAAAACAATGGCTCACATGTTCAAGATTACAGCGGAATTTAGATTTTAGAATTTAGATTAGTCCCTGTGAAAATCGGTTTGATATTCTGCAGCATCTGTCTCTAAAAGATATTTTATAAATGTCTAATATACCTTTATGCCTAATAAATACCTGGACTAGTTGATTATAGTGCATAATGTGTTAAATGCAATAAAAAACTGTTTTTGGCTACCAAATAAGTTACTAAGGATCACATGACTCAGACAAATCTTCCTTTTCAACAAAATAAAACTGAGGCGACGAGCTTTCCAAGGCCAACGAGAGCTGGGATTGTGACACTGAGCCAAGCTGTCAAAGCCGGTGACGTACTTTTCAGTACGTCCCTTTCTGCAATCTTCAGTAAAACACCGTTATCCGCCCGGCGACGCTGCTCATCCCAGCGACACATCCTGTAGTCAAAGGCAATGTTGTCTCGGGCCCCAGCAGGACATGACACAGCGCGTTGGTCTCACGCGGCTGTCAGCGTATCGCTAACTGGTGACATCCTGTGAATATTTCATCCCCCTGACTGGTCAGCGCTGATTTTTAAAAAAATTTCATTTATTTATGAGTTTTACGGATTAGCACGTTATCTATATTGGCTATTAACGTATGATACTTGACCGGTTTACACAAAAATATAGTTTTTCATATTTTGCCTGCCCAGGAGTTTAGATTTAGCACATGTTGAAGCTGCCAATCTCATGAACATGGAAGACAAACAATCAGCTACAATATCATGATGGAGACCATCCATTTTGTAAGATGAAGGTTTTCTGTCAAATTGTGTTCCTAAAACAACTTCTTAATTTCAATTCCACTGTCATGCTGTACTAATGCGAATTTACACCAGTTTTGTTGCTGCCTCCACAATAAGAACCTTGTGTTCATCAGAGTATCATTTCGAATCGGAAAATTGTGTAAAGTGATTTGAATTGGGGTTGTTTAACTAATTTAGTTGCTAAATAGTTTAAATATGGAATCAAAATGAACCTTCCATAAGAAGAAGGTTCCTGACAGTATCGACAGTATTTCCTCATCTCCACCAAGTGACTATAATCAATGTTTTTCATAAAGGCAAAAATAGCTTTTTGACCAGTAACATCCTTTGAATTAATAGTTTGAGGCAATGCTGTTTCTTTTGACACTTCTTTGACACATAATGTGACATATCCCGAGAAGGCTTTCCTGTCAATCAAATTAAAGCCATCACTGGTTTGTTTTAATAACAACATCTTTCTGATTGATCACCTTGTTACGTTCAGCACCAACACCAATTTAAATACCCAAATTGTTTGACACACTTCAATGACCAAACGGTGACGACGGTTTCTCCCTTGATAGTGGTACTCCTCAAATTGATTAGACACTCAAGCGGGTGAACTAAAATTGTTTCCTTGCCTCCCTGGATTTGATTCAAAGATAAAAATAAAAAAAAGTATAGTCCAATTTCCTTGGAGCATTCGTTTTACAGCCGAAGCCGTCGCCTCCACTGGTTGCTGGCCACTTGTCATACTGAGCAAAAACTGCGTCGCGAAGAGCAGCAACCGGAGAATATATCCATGGAAACCAACCTGGTTCATTGTCTCTCTTAAACGGCTCCCGCCAGAAAGAACTGCACAGCTGTGGCAGTTTGGAGAGATTGCATGAAATTTTCCCTTCACAGGTCCACGCGCAACCTTACCGATGCAGGAAAAACCAAAGGACTTCACTCACATAAATGTTGACGTTGTCGTTGAGTTCGGCTACACCGTAGATCGTGTCTGTGGAGGTGACGATGAGGTTCATTGGCTGGGCATTGGTCATCAGCAGACTAAACATCTGGGAATTCTGAGAGAAAAAGAAGGCCACATATTCCAATGAGTTACCTTTAAAGTGATCACAATGCACTTCACACAGTGAATGTTTGCAAACTCGCTCAATTAGCTCCAAATCCAAATGCTGCGTGAGCACGATAGATTCAGAAGTGAAAGGCTGAACTTGTGCTGGAGGCCGAGAACGTTTCCACGTTTCTCAGGTTCCACCTGAGAATTGTTTTTATTTTATTTGGCTCGAGAACTCACACAGCGAGAATGCACACAGCGAACCTTCACCGACCAACAGGCAATCGCAAAACACCCGCAGCCGTTGTCCGAAGTCACGTGTATGTAGGACGGCCTCTGATCGAGGGATACAACGCGGTTTTGCATTATGCGGCCGGTCTGGGGACGAGAGAAGTGAGCGGAGGGCTTTTCAGTTGCTTGCAATTGCCGCTCACACGGATAAACGCCAACAAGTCCTGCACACTGTGAATGTGAGTGTATGATCATTTAGAAAAACTCCACACCAGCATTTCTTCTTCATTTATTTTAAGCTTAAAAATAGTTCCAACTGCAGTTTAATTCTACCCCAGTTCGATTCAATTGCCGTCCTATTGGAGAAAACAGTTGTGAATATGGCAATTGTTCTTGTTTTTGCAACTTCCAAATGTCAACACATGCATCCCTGCAGAGCAAGCAGTGGCAGTCATCTGAGCAGGGCTTGCAAATGGACAGGAAGCCGTCTTTGCTGTCTGCTTCTGTGTTGACACAGACATTGATGAGGTTATGCAGCTTGGTTCTATTCTTGCACCCACATTCAGTCCACACGAAAACAACAAATAATAATAGACCTCATTGTTTTCTATTTTCTTTAAAGAAATCAGTGTATCATTAAAATTGTGGAAATACTGTGATACCCTTTTGTAATGATACAAATATTCGGAATGCCATAACATTAATCATCATAATAATTATACATACGGTGTCACTCGAAGTGATTGTGCAGTGGTCCCTATTAGCAATTTGTGCATTTCTTAGAACCAGTGTCCTCTCACACGTGGCCCAGCCTCTGTGGTAGCTTATACACTGTATATAGTACCTCATTATAATGTAACACATAATGTAATACCTAATAACCTTTAACTTGCAGAGGGTAACACAATGGCAACGTGATTTGCTAATCACCACCAGAGTCGCTCTGTGAATCAGCCTTAATTACCATGCTCCACATGTGCATAGGGTAAAGCAGCTACTGCTGAGTTTTATTGATGTAATTGGTGCTGAGTAAACCTGCTCTCCTTGGAATAATAAGTCTCACTTTATAGTTTTTTTTTTCCAAGACTGACTTAATTCCAATAAATCCTGGCTCTAATTACTTTTACATCTATAATGGCCCCGAGACAATTGGGTTTAGGAAAGTGAAAGAGTTCATAGATTTGAATTCAGTTCAATATTTTTGACAAAATGCATTACGAATAAACAACAGATTAAAAAAAAAAGCTTGGAGAGATCTCTTTGGTGTGAGGCTCTTGTGGGAATTTAATATTCATAAATACAATAGTCTGCTTTCATCAATCTGGAATGCCTCGTTGCCTCACTCTGTTTATCTGAAGGTGGATTGTTTCCAGCGCTTTGCCCTGCTGGGGTAACGATGAGCATGCTGGGTAAACAATGTGAATCCTAATATTAAATTAATTTACTTGCTTGGCTGCTGTTGTTTGAGCCAAAATCACTTTTGATGATTTCAGGCTTGAGCCGTGGACATTTTCAGACCCGTACATGACAAATTAGACCATCAACAAATTACATATTAGCAAAACCCATCGCATACATTCACACAGATCATTTTTTGATTGGCCAAAGGGGGCACTGGAAAGCTTACATTTGTATCTGAATCTATCAGGGGTCAGGACCATCTGCAGTTTTCTTGCTTTCTTCGGGGGGGGGGGGGGGGGGGTGTAACAGGTGAGACTTGGTGGCATTACTTTTTCAGAGGCGTAAGACGTGATTCAAAAAGGCACCGAAGTCTAATCCGATGTCCTCGAAAGATCCCTGGAGGGAGAGTTATTCTACCAAGTATCACGGAGTCAGAGACTTTGAATTCCCAGCAAGAGACACTTCCCTTGTACCTGGATCGCGTGGCCCGTACGTGAAGAAGGAATGAGAGGCATTTCCTGCGGAGATCATTGTGCCTCATGCAGAGATAACTCGGCGGTGCTTTCCTTAAATACTCCTTTCTAATGAGCTTCATTGTCTCTGTCTAGTTTCCCCTCCACCGTCCTTTTGTGACTTCCATTCTTTTACTCTGAACCCGGAATCATGACTGTTGCCGACCTTGATCACTCACCTTTCTACTTTTCTTCCTGCTCTTTCAAGATACAATTGTTTTTCCCTTTTGGCGTTTTCTTTTCTTTTCTTTTCTTTTTTTTGAAGGGGCCTTTGCTCGTGCAGTTTCCAGTTATTCTTTTGACTCACTCCCTTAACTTGAATCGGCTCCATTGGTGTAGCCTCGGCCTCGTGCCAAAGTCCCTGACTGGCCGAGCCGGTGCGTGACATCAATTGGTCCTGCGCAAGCAGCTCCTCCCTAAGAATTGGCCCGGCCTGTGCAGCCCCTCGATGCTCCCTCTATAATTCTCTGCGTGGTCAAACTGTGTGAGAGTCAACCCTATCTGGCAGGTTGTAAATCAGCATGAAACACAAAAGAGATGGGGGAAGACGGTGATAAGAATATTGAAAGGACAAAGAAACCGGGGGGGGCAGAGGCAAGCCTCTCATCTTGACTGGACAGTTTGGCAGAGGGTGAAGATGTCCTCCATCCTCTGTTTACAAGATTAATCGGTTTTAAACGGACGGTCGAGAGCAGATAAGGGGTCTCTGTTAGCAGCTCCATGTGTCCACTTTCTACTTTCGTTTGATAAAATGTCCACTCGTGGTCCCACAAGAGAGACGCTAACTCTAAACGAGGTTCATTGCCTCACACAGATCCCGAGCCAAATTCCTTGCGTGAACTCTCACAAATCCTAAAAGAATTGCTTTTGCACATGAGTTTCCGCAGAGAATTTGGAAATGTATTTCTACTCGCATCACAACTTTGGTCACTGGTTTCCGGTTTACTCTTCAGGCTAAATGAGATGACAGAGAATGGCTTTCCTCAGCTTATCCTACTGTTGAATGTGTCCTTTTAGAAAATAATTATGACATGATTCTCTGAAGGTTTCCTCGAATCGACTGACGAAAGGACCTTGAGTGCGTTTATCCATTTTGTCGAGGTGATGGATTCGTGCGGCCATTGTATTGCCTGCACATACTGTAGAACATCTGCTTCCCTTTTCATAATTGCTATCAAATGAAAGAGCATGGCCAACCAGAGCGTGAAATACAAAGAGTCAATACAAAAAAAGCTTGCTTAGCACATGTTATGTGTAGGTACTACATAAAGAACTGCGAGAACCAACAGAAGAAACAAACAAACTGATAAAGAAATGACTAATGTTAGCTGACCGACAGCGTTGGACAGTGAAAAATGGAGCCTGGCGCGGCAATAACAACATATAGATTAAAAGTTCGGCAGAGTGGCTTTCTGGTGTCGTTGCCCGTAGCTAAAGGTTTTTTTTAAATTACGTAACACACATCTGCAAATACGGTGTGTGAGATTGTGTGTGAACACACAGTTGAACTCGCAGAGCCGGAGGTTGTGATTAAAGTCTGTTTAGTGTAAAAAAATAAAGGAAAGGAAGCTGTGGGACGTTTGGAAAAAAAAACCCCAATCTGTCCGACATGTCTGGCATCCGTCAACGGGTTGTCACTTATTTGGCTGTTAAAATGTGGACGTGGAGAGTGTGTGTGTGTGTGTTAACATGTTGTAGTGTGGGAAGAACATTTCGCGGGTTATTCATCCAAAGGTTAGAGTTTGCACACTAATAACTTCAAACACACTCGTAACACTGTGAATTCCAATTGATTACTCGCATTTGCAACGTGTGCAGCCGCACGATGCTTCTTCATTTTACCGTAGATGCGACTGGACTAATTGGACCGTTCGCTCTAAGCGATGATTAAATAGTGAGCGATGACATACAGGACGGGCAAAGGCATTGGACTTCAGCGACGAGGCGTCAGTGTCGTCCGCTCGACAGATAACCTTTGTTAAATTGTTACGTTATCTCGCAGTCAAGCTTTTCCATTGTTATCTGGTCTCAAAGGGCAAGTTTTGTTTGCCTGCTGAATTTTACTGCTAGTACACAAATGACATCAGAGCATCTATTTTGATAGCCTCGCCTTAATATTTACCTCACTGCCGAGCCTATTCTTTTCAGTTCTTCACATCCATGTAATCAGCACCTCGTTCGTATCACCTCGACATGCTTACTTTGGCATCATAGTTCAGGTTGAGGACGTGGACCTCCGCCTTGTCCTCTGTGATGAAGCTGGTCCAGCAGTCAACCAGGACGTCCCTCACGTGGAGCCACGGGTTGACGGCCTCCTTTGGATCACACGTTTGACTTGAGGCTGAAAAAAAAAAAAAAAAATCAAATACAAATGGTTAAGCAGTGTCAGGTGTATATAACCGGGTTCCACGTAGAGTGACATCGTGGCTTCATCCGCAACACAGTCCTGTCACATTTGGACATGAACAGCGCAGAAGTGAAGAACATTATTTACGGGATGGATGAACGGAGCAATGTAACCGATTGCTTGTCACGAGTTTGTCATTAGTCACTCGGAAAGCCTTTTCCTGGTCTCTCCGAGTACAGATGTTAAAGGTGTGGGTAGAACCACATTGTTTAAGAACAAATCTGCCGGGTCACGTTTATCAGCGGTGTCAGGACGCCGCTCTGCAGCCATTCATCAAGCCTCCTCACTCGGCTCCGTGCCTGCTGTCTGACCCGAGCATCCGTGTCTCTGGAGGATGAATTAATCGGGCAGAGGCTGCGCGGTCAAGGATGACGTGGGGTGTAAATGCCTGGGGTTTGATCTGTGCAACGTGTGAGCGTTTTCTTTTGTGCCTGTGCGCGTAAAATGTGCACACACTCTCTCTTAACTTAAACATATTATCCAAAAAAACACATTTAAGGGTGTCTGCTCCGAATAGTCTTTACTGGCCGATCTCCCTCCTTTTGCAATAGTAATGGTCTGGCTGGGACATCATGGTCCTGTGCCAATGCAGTCTTGTTGGCAACAACAAATCCCGACTCCAAAATCCAGATTTACTTTTAGCCTTAAAGCCTTCCAACGTCACGATGTAACGGATCAGTCGCCACTCCTCTATCCTGCGCCTAAGCAGTAGATAAGCGCGTCTTCCGTAAGATGAATGCAAGCAATGCACGTTTAAGCATCCGCCGTGCATGCCTCAATCACACCCAAAACAGCCGGCGCTGAAGCATAAAAGCGAGCAAGACCGATATGATGTATCATAACAGATACAACTAATTTAGTGAGCAAATGCCGCATGACGTAGCGCCCCACTGACTCCCGTGATGTATTTGGTCTGTTAACCCAGCAAGCCTCAATCCCTCAGAGAGGAGATGTGGAGCAAGTGAGATGAGAAAGAAAAACGGCATCAAGGGGGCCGTGAGGGGAGGGGGTGGGGGGGTTCGGAAAGGAAATTGCAACGTTCAGAAGGTCAACGGGATGTGCCTTTTTTTTAGAAGCAGTGCTAATCAAGGAGCCAGGTGGAGACAGCGTCATCTCCAGTGGTGAAGGAGAATGGACAGAAATAGAAATAAATCGGGATGGAAAGTGATGAATGGAAAGGAAAAAAAAATAACAAGAAAGAATACATGTAACATAATTAGCTCTCTCTCTCTCCTGTCTTTTGTTGCACCCACATTCAAATCGCATTAGTGCTCTTACTCATTTATTCAATCCATTAATTATTCCGGAACATCTCTGACCCGCAAACCCCTTGACGGGAAAAGAGCAGCTCATGAGATATAATTTCTACGTGATTTGCATTGTGTCATTTTTCAAATTAGCTGTTGAGAATCTTCTTATTGTTGAACCTTTTCGGGGAGATTACACATCTTTTGTTTGTGTCCCATTAAAATCCAATTATTCTCCCGTTTTTTGGGAGGGTGAGTAATACGTCGTATCGCTGCTTCTTGTCATGGTCACATCAAGCACGCATTTGGCGCCATCCAGGGATGGAGGCGGGGCTGCATCTTTCCCGGCACAATTCTTCAGTGGTTTTCATGAAGCCTGCTCAGCTTTCAAACTGCCGCTTCTAGCAAATCAAAATGGAGAGTCATCCGCGTCCCCTTCCCATCCCTCTTTCCCACCCTCACCCCAGAGGTCAAAGCCGGTTTCCTGTTATTCTGGCCCTCCGTGTCTGTGTCTGTTGCTCAATATCCCCATCCATAAAGTCATTTCTCACTCGTTCTGCTGCGGCCGAGTCAACGGCCCGTGACTGTGCCCCCGTTCGTATAAATCACACTGAATGCGCGTGAGTGTTCGTACATGCGTGTGACACTGGTCTCTCTTTTTTTTTTTTTTTTTTTCAAGTCATCGTAGGACATGAAGATCATTCATTTTGCCTTCTTGACCCCGGAAATGCCAATGGCCTTGCTAAGCGGTTTGCTGGTAAATGAGGTATAGAAGAACCATTCCATTCCTTGTCCTCTTCATCTACTTGTATCAGCCCCCCCGGTTCCCATTCCAGGAGAAAACATGTTTATGGATGTTGATGATTTCCATTTAGATGTTAGGTATGAGGGGAGGATGAGAGTGGAAAACCATTAGAGAGCATTAGGGAGGACAGGAAATGGCCTAATTCCATGAAAAGTGCTTATAATCACATTTGACCTTCAATATGCTTTTATTCTTGATGCAAATTCTATAACACGTAGGTATCAATGAATGTGTCCGCCTGAATAGACTGCTGCCAATTCACATCATAACAAAACTATGTGGCCAAAATAATAGACGTAATGTGTATTTGATACATTTAACAGGAAACATTATCATATCAAACTGACCCAATGCTTATAAAATTAAGACCAACGATTGTGGAGCCAAAATCGATGACGGCCAATTTGCTAATAGTGCAGCAGCTTTGGGAGAAAGAACGAGACTGTGCCAATATCTGGGAGGAATGAATAAGTTACTAATAAGTTGCTCTCGGCACTCCACTGGTGGCCTAACTAACAAGACTATGTATTAAAAGTTTGCAGTTTCCCTGCTCTTTAACACTCAACCTCCAGAAAAATACACAAAATACTAGTTCCCAAAATCACAGACATCTGTTCAGTTGTGTGTTCCAGCATTAAGTTTTTTTAAAATTTCTATGCATTGCACGTAGTTGTCAGTTGTGTCCAACCAGATAGGGACGAGCGCGTAGACAGACAGGCGCACGGAGCGAGCGAGTGGGGCAGCGCGAGGTCAGCTCAGGAGAAAACAACAAAGGGCCAGAAACGCTTGTTGGCTCGTACGGAGAGAGGCGCCTCTGGCGGTGTGAGCTGCCGGGGCTACTGCTCGCGCCACAATTAACTCGGGACGCCGCTTCCGCCTCCATTGTGAAGCCGCAGTTCCAGCTCACGCAGATGCAGTAGAGTCGAGTCCCGCCTGAAAAGTTGTGCTCCACATGGCTGCAACACACGTGATCATCGCTGAATGACTTGTTGATCATTGTTAGTTGTCAAAGCTGAAATAAGTTGTCCTAATGTGGGCGGCTAATGCGGCGTTAGCGAGGCCCAAAGGGCGTGACGGGGTACGTGTGAGCACTCGCTGCTCTCGCCCACGAGCATGACGCTAAGATAACAGCCCACAATGCACCTCTGGCGGAGCTTTCACAAAAAAAAAAAAATCTTTAAGACAGAAGCGTTTCCATGAACACTATTTCACCAGAAATAATCGAGGGGTCGTACTGTATTTCTTGGAAATGACTCACTGCGGCTCATGAAAAGAAGAAGCACCAACGTGAGATAACAGCTCCTTTTTCAGTGGGACTGCAGATTATCACTTCCTGTTTTTAACATATTTGCTGCTATTTGATTGAGTGTCAGCACTTCACCGCTCAGCAGAAATAAGATTGACCTTCTGCAACTTTAGAAATAATAGAACAATGCTAATGGGGGGGTAATAACCTCAGGGAAGAAGTAAATGTCCTCAAATGGGAAAAAAAACTAAATGTTTGATGTAATGGATTCAGATAAAACACATTTGGGGGCCATGTTTTTAATAGAAAAAAAAGCATAGTGGGTTTTTTTTTAACTACAGCATACTTGTAAATGGTGGACAAGGTCTGACAGAGTTCTGTCTGCATGCGTGTGACACCGTTGCGTCCACTTTGAGCATCCTTCACTGCGCCGACATGGCGGAGTGGCGACCGACCGTCTCCCTCGGCCCCTCGGGCAGACTGTCGGTGTCCAGGGTCACTCGTGACGGGGGAAGAGGGAGGGAGGAGCCAGCGGTCCTATCGGGAGTTTGTCGGAGAGGGAAAGGGGAGCTTCAAGGCCCACGCACGCACACACACACACACACACACACACGCACACGCGCACACCTATTGTCCCGGCGTTTCCGCAACTGCAGATCGAGGCCTGACCATCCACAGGAAGGTAAACAACCCCTTATCAGAGCTCTGCAGGGGCCTGCACTGTCCCCTGGCCTCTCACCCCTGCATACTGCACACTGCGCAGGGACACACACACACACACGCACACACACACGCGCGCGCTTCCGGACCATCTCACCTCGCTCACCAAAACTCCAGAGATTCTATCCCAAAAATAATGTGGGATATTGCTGATTACTCTCGTCAGCGTAATGGCGAAAATACTTGTCCCAAGTGCCTGCGTCCGATGTTTGCTCGGAGGGGCGTTTGATAGCGGTTCTTGGAGACAGCCTGTCTTCACACTCGCTCTGTTTACACCTCTGGGAGCCGTTCGTCCGCCGTCTCGTCGCTGTCGGGAGCCAGCGGTGAACAACAAGTCCAGCGGCGGCGTACGGGACGTCTATGGCTCACTTCCTGGGTTGTTCGCTCGCTCACTCACTTTTCTGAGGCCCGTCTGCTGCTGGTGATGACGCATTCCTTGTTCTTTAAAGCAGACGGATCTGATCGCGAGGATCGCGGGTCAGTCGAGGTGAAATACATGCCGTCATTTTTATTTGTTGATCCTCCGAGGTGATCTGCTAACGTTCCAGACACCATTATTTACCCGAAGGGACGCGTCTTTTTCGCGTTCATTTATATAGTCATCGCCCACCCGCCCCCAAAACCGTTCCCTAAAAGAGCAGCCAGCAAGACGCAATCAATCACCCCAGCGTTAATTGGTGGATAGACAGGCTAATTTAGAAAGTTTCATGCTAACTGCGGGCAGCCAGAGCAGATTGAAGCTTTGGAGATTCATTGCACAGTCGTTGCCCCCAATCATTCAAGATTGATGTAGCTTTGCACAACATATGCTGCGTGGAGACCAACAGAGATGAGCTTGTTTTTCTTGACTAATTTTTGCCAGGAAATATTAATGCTTTCCGATACGAGGGCGGCATATTAATGAAGGTTTTTCTTG